TCTCCACCCACCCCCGGCCCTCCCCTCTGGCAGCCGTCAGTGGGTTTTGATCCTTTCCCTCCCCATAGGATAGCTTTCAGTGAGTAGAAAAATTGCCAGAAAGAGTAAACGCAGGAGGCCTGAAGCAACCCCCAAACCGAAATATCAGTCCTGAATCATGGAGTTGACCGTAACTGCTTTATCCATCAGGAAAGAATTACTAAGAATTCAAGTTTGAGCAGTTTTGCTCTCCTTAACTTGTTCACTCATACCTGGAAACAGTGTAGGTGGAGTATTTGGAAGTGGTTGAGGAAGGAAACGTTAAAGCTGGGGAAAAATGCAGAATGCTAGCTAATGGGTCTCTGTGGGACTGGGAGAAGAATGCAGACTCAGGAAGAAAGTAATGTTCTCTGTTTCCCGCAGACTAACTTCTTGCAGAACTTCCTGTCTCTCACGTTGCCGAAAGGAGGGAGTCAGCGTCTCAGCGGCCTGACTGTTCTCTGGCTGAGGCTGCTCCTGAATGTGTCCTGTGCAGAGGATGGGCAGCAGATGATCCTGCGGCTCGACGGCGGCCTGGACTTGCTGGCGGAGATGGGCAAGTTCAAGCACCGGCGCGGCCCTTGCCTGCCTCTCCTCATTTTCCATAACATTTGCTTCAGCCCCACCAACAAGCCCAAGATCCTTGCCAATGGTGCGTAGTCCACTCTGTACATCACACGCATGCACACGCACAACACACAGACGTCCATTTACACGTGTGGTGGCTCATAGCATATTCCATTCAGATTGAAACACAAAATGGTTTTTAAGTTATTTGCCAGGTGTTTATTCAGCCCCCGCTGTGTTCTCGGCACAGAGGGAAGCAGCAGCTGGGGGATGGAGACCAGGAGGTGATTGTCTGATTTCTCCCTGCTCGTCTGTAGTACCTGGAGTTGGGTGTGTGCCGGCAGCTCTGGGTGAATATCGATGATTGAGATCCTGAGCGGGCAGGGGAGGCGAGTGCTGGGAGCAGTTGGAAAGATTTGAAACAGAAACGGAAAGGCCTCTTTTTGTAACCGTGTGCTCTTTCCATGAGGAGCATGAACTTAGTGGGGGAAGTTTTATTAGGAGATGTTGTGTCATCATGAAAAGAGGGAGAAAAGGGGGGCTCTAGACCCCGCACACCACGCACGTGCTCCCTCAGCGTAACGGGTGCTTCTTGGCCCCGCTTCCTCATCTCTGAAATGAGCCCCCTTTCCTGGTTTTGGTAAAAGTCAGTTTATAGACACGCAGAGGGCCTGGAACTGTGTGTGGTTCATGGCAGATGCTCTCATTTCCCTTCACGTTTCCCACGTAATCTCTCCCTGGGGTGTTTCTCTATGAAACGGAGTTTCCCGAGCGGGTGGGAATGATGCTTGCACTCCGCGTGTGTGCAGCTGCTGTTGTTTCCTGGTGGTGATTCCTGAACCTGGAAACACAGAGGAGGCTCTCAGAAGCTCAGTCTGTCAGCTTTGAACTGGTTTGCAGCACTTGTTGATTTTCATGGTGCAGATACTCTTACTGTAGGTGGTTTCAGGCTCCCAGCATGACACCCCTGTACTTAAAATCGTATCATTAAGAGGAAAAGTAATAAATATTCAGAACCCCTTACTTCTTAATTACTTAACTGTATCTTACTATGTAGTCTCTTGAAGTTATTTACATGTTAATGTGGGAATTCACTTCATACCTATTTGTTAGGCTTACAAATGTTTTATGTGCTTTTTTAAAAAACTGGTTGATATACAACATTAGTTTCAGGTTTACGTGCATTTTGTATGCATGTTATATTTCACAATAAAATGTGTTTTTAAAAATATCGATCCACTTGCATTATCAGAAGGGGCAGCACATTATTGACCTGTATGTGTACTTTATTAAAGCATTTTCCGAGCTAGTAACTGTGAAAGGAGTTAGGATAAGCCTGTCTGATCATGGGCGGTGCACCTGAGTGTTGGCACCACGTGTAACAACATCTCTTGATGATACTCAGGTGGATACACCGTTCGATGACATGCCCCAAGAGCATGAGCTGCTACCGGTCACTTCCCAGGACGGACGTGATCAGATAACTGTTGATACAGGCTAGTTATGGGGGTCATGATACAGGAGAAGCAGGGGACCACGGAGCGAGCTCACTTTATGGAGCAGCTGCTTTTTTTTTCTATAAGACTTTAAATTCTTTAAAATTCCTTAAAACCCCTATATAGAATCACTGAAACAGCATTTTTGTTTGCTTTAAATTATGGAATCTTTCATCCAACTGGTATTTATTGAGCCCCTAGAATACAGGGGCCCCGTGGTTGGAATATCAGCAGTGAGCGGGCAGACTTCGCCCTCGGCCACACTGCTCTGTAATGAGATGTGTCCAGCAGGTGGGGTGTGGCCAGTGCATAGAGCCCCCAGGAACAGTGTCTCAGGACTTTAAAGTCACAAGCTGTAGAGGAAAAGTGATTCAGTGTAACATGTAGGAATAAGTAATAAAACGGCCTCATGCATTGTCTGAGACACCCTGGCACCAACTTCCCTGCATCTTCACCTAGAGCCAGTAGCTGCTGCAGATAATTCTGGGTCTTGACTCCATCTTCTGGCTGGCTGTGCAAAAAAGGGGCCTGTCTCGTGGGTCGATCTGCCTTTAAATCACTTTTCCTCTGACACACATCCACACAAGCAGTCCTCTAGGATGTCTAGTCTTTTTGTAAAAGGCTTAACTCATGGTTTTTCTTCATTATTTTATAGCAGCCCATGCTATTGATATGTTCCTACAACAGTCTTTATAATTTATCACTAGCAACCTGTTTCCCTGCCACCAAAATGTGCACTGTAATTGAAGAGCTCATTAATACGACTCACTGTGTAAGTGCTACTTCACTGTTGTCCTTAAATGAATGTGCCATTGTTGAGTTAGGGCCAAAAATATGGGGCCTCTGCTGCTGCCCTGGCTGCTCTGTCTGTGTGTGGAAACTGTTACGTGGCGTGAAAGATCCTTTTCGCTATAGTCTAGCAATAGTAGCTCTGCACTCTGATGGGAGAGCAGGCTACCTGACTAGTCTAAGGTAAGAACAGTGCTGTGTCTGGGACTGAGCTTTTTTTATGTCTTTATTATTAGAGAAAGTCATTGGCATGCTAGCCGCCTGTCTGGAAAGCGAGAGCCAAAGTGCCCAGAGGATCGGAGCAGCCGCGCTGTGGGCTCTGATTCACAACTACCAGAAGGTCAGTGTTCAGTCTCTGTCACACCCGGGGGCGGACACCAGCCTCTCTGGCAGCAGGCTGTCAGGAGGGTTGGCACGAGCAGAGCAAGCTCAGACCCCAGCGAGCATGTGGCCCGGGGGTGCCTCCACAGCTAGGAAACGTCACTGCAGGTCCTCCTCCCCTCCTCATCTCAGCAGCCGCCTCATCCCAGAAGTGTCTCCCTTTTGAGTGAATTTTCCCTGTTACTATAGGGTGATTTGCCCTCTTGGTGCGATGTTGTTAGAGATTATTTCTGCTAAACGACGTGTCAAGGAAAAAGACATCTTGAAACAAAACCAAGTAACAGAGTTTTATCCAGAGTGGGGTCTCCCTTTCTCAGGTGTGCATGGTCACTGAGTTTAGGAGTGAGCTCAGCTCCCAGGTTCCAGCACAGGCCTCCGGGGGGCAGGCGGTGGGGACTCGCACCTGCTCGCTCTGGCCTCTGGCCTGTCTTTTAGCTCAGTCATCTCACTCCTGAGGGAAATGCCTGTGTGGCCAGTTAAATAGTGGCTGAGTGACAGTGTGAGCATAGACGCCCATCCCCACAGGCTCTCTCTGCGGTTGTCCCTTATCTGGGCATGATCTTCCAGCTGGCTGGTGTCCGTGCCCACGAGGACCGAGGCTGCTGCTCTGCCTCTCCCAGTGTGTCCCCAGGGCCCAGCACAGGATCTGACGCTGTCGTCTTAGTAGATATTTGCTATACTTGATCTGAAACTTCAGGTCTGAGGGAATGCGAAGGGAGAAGGGGTGGGAGGAGGGAGCAGGAGCAGGAACAGGAACAGGAGAGAAGGCACCGGTTGGCGGGGAGGGATGTGGCGCCACCACGATGGCCTGTGCTAGTATCTAATTCTCCAGCTCTGTTACTATGTAATGTCCTGGTTACTGCTGTGGTCAGAACAGCAGTGAGGATCGGATCCTGATCCCAAACACGTGGAAACAAATCTAATTCACGGACTGTTCCATGTTATCTCCAGGCAAAAACAACTTTGAAAAATCCATCAATAAAAAGAAGAGTGGATGAAGCATATTCCTTAGCAAAGAAAAGTAAGTTTCATTGTGAGAGATTGCCCTTGAACTTGAAGCGATTAAGTTAATTCTGTGATGAATGAAATACGTGGACAGTTCGCAGCAAAATAACTGTTTCCTGCATCAGTGTTTCACAGTGATGTTTGAGGAGCTTTTGGTCAAAGTGTTGTACAGTTTGCTGGCATTTGGTCCGTGCTTTTCTTTGTGACATTTTTAAAATGATGAAATAAGATGGTTTTTTAGGACATGTCTGTGATCGTTCTCCAAGTCATCTTTTTCTTATACAAAACTTTGCTGGTGGCCACGGCTGTGCTCAAGTGTGTTAAGTGATAAGAACAGGGCTCAGTTAGAATTGACTGTGAACAGAAAACTGATCTGACTTTGGGAGCTGAATCAGTCTCCAAAAATAGACCCCATTGCCTGGTGCCGGCCAGTCCTGCGACGAGATCAGGACACTGGGGGGTGGGGGGCCTTCCATTTAAAGTGCGTTTTCACTTTAATGATGCAGGTAACATGAGTGTTGTTCTGTAACCACGTGTCTTCCCCATGTTTTTATAGTCTGATGTTTTATAACTGTCTCGTGGGTGTTTTGTTTTTGTTTTGTTTCTAGCTGTGCCCATGAACTCCTGGAGGTCCTGGGTACTTCAGTTACTGTCAGTGTTTCGGTGTTAGGAGGGTGGTGCACGGAAAGGACAGGGCATTCCTGTGGGAGGCAGGAAATGGATCCCTTGTGGAGGTGCAGTGCTTTTGGTTTCACTCTTTGGCTAAACCGTTAATAAAAAGTAAATATAAATTCTGTAACTTCCTCATTCTTTTACAATGTGGAATATCCTAATGCGAGTATGCCAAAGAACTGAGTACAGCTCTGCCTCATGTACCCTGTGCCTGTGTGCCCGCTCTGGGTTGGTGCTCGGTTCCGGCAGCTGGCTCCTCCAGCCTCTCATGTCTCTCAGCTTTTCCAGACCCAGAAGAAAGCCCCCTGAATGCCTATTATTTGAAGTGTCTTGAGAACCTTGTGCAGCAGCTGACCTGCTCCTGAGGACCCGGACACTCCGCCCGCAGCTACGGTGGCTGGACAGGTGGGCAGGCGTGGAGCCAGCTGTGCACAGCTGTGGCCCGAGGACAAGGGAGCCCTCTGTGAGGGGTGATGCCTTTCTTCCTGACGGACACTGAGTGATGTCCAGCTCTGTCCCTTCATCTCCCAGCTGCTCTAGGTTAAGAGCAGCCGACTAGCAGAGGACTGAGAAAAGGCGTAGAACATGCTGGGGACACAAACATTTCCATCTTTCTATGCAACTTGCTTTGTAAAAATCCTATTTAACAGTTATTTAATAAAACAAATGTTTCTAGAAACTGAAAATTGACTGATAATTGCTGCCTGCAGGCTTAATCAGGGTCATGAATACACATTTTAGGAATGAGAAGGCATCGTATTCTGATTTCCTTTTTAAAAAACATTTTTTTACATGACATTTGATTCTTGTCAAAAGAAATCCTTATCTTTCAAACCTTTGTATTGTCCAGAATATATGCATTGGTGAAGGGATATGAGTGTGTAAATGTGTGTAATTTTGTGAGTAGCTTTTTTCTGCAGTCTTTAGTGATATTAACTCCTTTCCATGTGATTTGTAAATGTTATATTTTATTCTTTTTATCTTTCAACTTGTGAAATGCTGTGTAATAACGAGGGAAGAAGTAGTTTATGGTCATGTAGGCCTTGGTTCAAATTCCAGCTGAGCCCAAAACACCACGAAGGGCAAAGACTGAAAGTCCGTTGGGAGCAAGTCCCGTCGAGCACTTGGTGACGTGCCCCTTCCCTGGTGGGAGTCACCGACTCAGTTTAAATCCTTGTCAGTTCAGGTACTAGTCACTTTCAGCAGGGTCCCAACACGTTTAAAAGTAAGGGGAGAAAATTGTGTGTAAGAAATGAGAAATAAAAGCTGTGTGTGTGTACATACATGTGTGTACATGTACATGCACACGCAGATACACACATTCATTTAGGGAAAAGTTTCTATTTGAATTATGGTTAACAGGAAAAAAGTTATGTGTTCAGTGCTGAAGTAGAAGCAGGTAAGTTTGTAGTGTTTGCACATCGCTGATTAGAGAGGACAAGTAGAGTTAGGAACTTGGAAGTTTCTGGGCAGCCCAAGTTCATTTGGAGCAAAATTCAACAATTTATAAGTGACTCCTTGTTACCAATTCTTTGCCAAGAACTCAGCTTAGTTCTTATAGAAATAATTATTTTTCATCTCACTTCTGTCGTTAACATTTGACCAAATTTTATAATTCCTGTCACAAGTCCATGTGGCACAGATGCTTTAGGAGCAGGTACACTCGGGTCTTAGTCAGCCTGGCCCTTGCCTCATGGAGGCCAGAGGGGGGCCTCTGCTGGGGGAGTGTCCACCCATCCTGCCCGTGGGATCTGTCCTTTCTAGGAGGGGGGAGAAGTGTTAAATCTCAGCAAATCCACCTGTGGTGTCCCACTCGAGAGGCTATATCCCACTGTGAGCTTTGAAGGTTTCCTGCAACTCTGAAGCTATTCTGGTTTGTGTCTGTAGTTAGTCCTGGCCTGGCTCCCTGTTCTTAGGAACGAAGACCGCAGGGGACACGTGTGCTTGCTGGGACGTTACTCTCAGCGCCCTTTCCTTCTCACGCCCCGGCTGCTCATCCTGCCCTTCCTCTCCCACCCCTGTGACTTCAGTCTTGAACTTTCCCCACCCACCTCCACATTTCCATCTCCGTCCGAGCTTTCAAGGGCCGGCGTGAAATGTCACTTTCCCCAGGACACTGCGGCAGCCTGCCCAGCTGGGAGGCAGTTCTTCTCTGAGTTTCGTGTGGAAACTCTGCTCAGTTTAGGTCTCTTCTTTAAGCTTTTATGTCACTCACGCCTCTTCCCCTGCGTTGTGCTGATTTGCATGTAGTCATTCCCACCGTCGGCTTGACATGACTTGTGCTTGAACCTGTGACTCCCTGCCTCTCACTATGTAAATTAGGCTAAAAGTTATGTTGACTTGGTCAAAATATGCACAACTGTTAGGTATTTGTTTTCTGAGAATAGGTTTTTGTTAAGTTCTAAAAATGAAAGCCAAAAGCCCTTTAAAATTCTTAGGCTATTTCTTAGTCCAGTAGAGAAAGATAGAACGGTAGGTACTTCAGGTCTGATTAGGAGATGTAACCAGCACCGGCGTGAAGCAAAGATACCATTGAAACTTTGAGGATCCATCGCTTACTAGGAATCAGTCTTACCGGGATCTTCCCTTTGGGAAGTGGAGCGTAGGTACCAGCTTTTGGAAATGAACCATGAATTGTGACAGTTGTGTAAGCTATGAGTCCGGCACAGAGTGGAAGCTGCCGGTTCGCATCAGCCACACTGTGAAGAGCACAAAGCAGCGGGTAACCTGTCCGCTTCCCCCTGGTCCCTGTCTCCTGGGGCCCATGTTCGGCAGCAGCAGGTGCTGGACGGCTTGGACTTCAGCTCAGGAACGGGACCCTGCTCGGCACAGAATGAGAGGAGGTGGCCAGGGCAGAGGCCGAAAGGAAGCTTTATAATCCGACTTCCTGAGAACTGGGGAAATGCTGCTCCTGTTGGACCCGTGGCAGCAGGGAGTGAAGTCTGTAATTGCTGACTCCCATGCACATTCCTTATCCACAGTGAAGAGCTTGCAGTAATGATAAAAGATTCGACCCATCAGGGTGATGTGGCAATTTTAAACATACACGCATCTGATAACCTCAAAATATGTGAAGCCAAAAGTGGCAGAACTCCAAGGGTGAACCGATAAATCTGAAATCACAGAAGTAGCTTTTGACACATACTCCTGATTGGCGGAGCAGGCAGTAAGTCAAAAAAGATACAGAAAATCTGAGTAGCACAGTCACCCTGATCTGATGAATACGTACAGGATTCTGCCAGCGAGAATCAGAGAAATCACTTTTTTCCCCTCGATTCCCAGGAAACATTTGCAGTTGACCCGGTTCCGGGCAACCTGGAAAGCTTCAATAAATCTCCAAGACTAGGCCACGTGCACCAAGAACTTGTACCACTATGTAGTTCAGTTAAAGCTGGATGAGAAAAAGATGGGCAGTACATGTTTGTACATCTAGAAGTGAAAAGACATCTTTCTAAAGAAACCACAAGTTAAAGGGTAAGAACCACAGTGGAAATTTCCTGAATAATATGAAAACTCTACGCGGAGAGGCCTGTGGGAGGCAGCAAAAGTGAAAGTTCTCTTGCATTTTTTATCCTCGAGAAATTTTTAGCTTTAAATCTGTCTAAAAGATGTAGGCCTCAACATTGGGAGCCAAGTATTCATCTAAGAAGCTAGAAAAATGACAGAATATACCCAAATTGAGTTGAAGAGATAATAAAAAATGAGAAGTTGATGACATGCAATCAAAGGTATTAAAGGTAGAAAATCAATAAAGCAAAAAATAGGTTCTTTGGGGGGAAAAATGGTGGTAGACAGATTTCTACCAAAAATGATGAACTGGAAAAGCGAAAGGACACACACTGTCGTCAGTGAAAGGGGGGCACAGGAACAGATGACTCGGAATGGAGCGGCGCTGCGCATTACCAGCAGTCCTGTGCTGACGAATTTGGAAGCGTAGATGCAGTGGGCATGTTCTTGGAAAAGTATTTACTAAAATTGGCCTCAAAAGAAATAAACTTTAATAGTCCTAATAGCTATTAGAGAAATCGAAGTAGTGATTATAATCTCTCCACAAAGGAAACACCAGCAGAGGGTTTTATAGGCAAGTTCTAGCAAACATTCCAAGGACGGTCCCGGTTTAATTCAAAGTCTTCGCAGGTACAGGAATGGAAGGAACGGTGCCAGCTCCTCCCATGAGGCCAGCACGGCCGACCCCAAGACCAAACCCAGGCATGAGAAGGGAGCCCAGAGGCCCGTTTCTCTCACAGACGGAGGCAGAAATCCTAAGCATTACCTCTGTAGATGGAGAAATAGTGCTAGACTCTAGTTACTAAATCTCTTGGTGAATTTGAAGTAGATGGTGATTTCCTAACCACTTGGGGGGCATGTATAAAAGCCGCAGAGCCGCGTCACTCTAAGTGGGGAAACATAAGTGTTCATTCCCTTACTGTTAACACCATAAGGAAGCCTACCGCCACCACGTATATTCAGATTTTATTGGAAGTCCTATGCAGTGCAGTCAGATAAGAAATACACTAGAGTCCTTAAAAACAGGAGAAATGAGGATATTATTTACAGATGACATAATCACATACAAAAGTCAAAACAATTTAAAGTGAATTATTTTGAAAGAGTTTAGTAAGGTGGCTGGATTTAAGATCAGTTGCGTTTCTGTGCACCACAAGGACCTGAAAACATTTAGACATCGCTGGCAATAGCACTGGCAAACGTAGTGCACTGAGTGGTAAATCTAGGTGAAAACGTGCCCTGCCTCTGCAGGGAAGCTGAGGAATGTTGAGACGTATTCTAAAAGGCATGCAGAGGTAGAGTGATACCGGGTACACCACTGGGAGACTCACGTGGCGGGTCGTGTTTCCACGACAATATCTCCTGTCCCACCCACTTTCTTCAGCATCTCCCCTCCAGAGAGGGGTCTGTGGTTCTATGTAACTTTTAAAGTGAGACCATACAAAGCAATACAACTTCCTTCCAGGTCTTTGAGACACAAGCCCCCATGCTGTGAGAAAGCCAAGCAGCCACGTGGAGAGGCCACGAGTGGTGGTCTGGGTGACAGCCAGCTTCAACCGCCGGAAAGCGGAATGCAGGAGCCTTCAGACGAGGCCCGCTCCCAGCCTCTAGTCACCCCAGCATTTGCGTCATCCCGGCTGAGGCCCCAGGTGTCACGGTCGAGTGAGGACCATCCGCATGCTGGCCTGGAATCCTGATGCATCTCTGAGCACCCAGGTGGCGGTGGTTTTTACAGCATTAAAAGTCAGTTCTTTTCAAATCAATGGACAGATTTAATACAGTCCCAGTCAGCATTTCAATAGGGTGTTCCCTGTAGAATTTGATGGGATCATTCTGGAGCCTACAGGAAAGGAGAAACACCTGAGTTGCCCAGAACACCTTTGAGGAGGAATAGCAGGAAGAGGGCAGTTTCCTTACCAGGCATCGGAACTTGCTCCGAAGTTACGGTAATTAAAACCGTCTGCAGGGCTAAGCAGAACACACGGGAACTCATGTGGTCAGAACCTATACAGAAAGGTCTTCAAAATCATTTTCATTTGCGGAAATAGAAATCAAGGCTGCAGTCAGGCTAACAAAAGTAGAAAGTCTGACAATAAGAAGTGTTGGAGAGGAGCTTAGTCCACAGGAGCTTGTGACGCATTGCTGAGGGAAGGCAAAGGAGCTGCAGCCACTTTGCGAA